TGCTTCCATCACAAGCCAGCAGTAGTATCAGAGTTAATACTGGTATTAAATCAAAAGGCGAGCTGAGAGGAGGAGCTCACAGAGCAGAGGTGTTTCCAGTGCTGCACAAAACCTTCCCCAAACAACTAGTGCAAGGTCTATACTACAGATACTGGTAAGCATATCCACTTCTGCCCAAAAAAATAGCAACAGCCCACTAAAACATCAAAGAAATTCACGCCACAAGACACTATCATAATAAACTAATACATTTTCAAGCTTTGCAGCAAGTAGCTGTGCCTGTTAAAAATCCATGTCCCACACCACAGTGTTAAACCTTGTACATAGGGCTTAATTGAGCGCAACTAAGTCGAGGCGTTTGAACACAGGTGTCTCTTAGCAAACATAAAGAAAAATGGACAGTTTTGCCAGCACCGATGGTCAGAGATTGGGTGTCTGAGCACTCTCTTCTCATGTTTGAAAATTTGATCCTGAAAGCCTGATTGCGGAGGCTGAAGTCAATGTCTGCAAGTTGCTTCTGTAAAGCCACTGATGCAAACTTAGGGAAAAGCCACTGTTACAAAGCTCTTCTCTAGACCAAGTGTCACAGAAAGAATTCACTTCGTAGAGAATGGTGAGAGTTATCTGAAAAGCTGCTCTGAACTACTTTATTGTCAGACATTTTGGTATGCCAGTTCTTCAGGGACTGACTTTCTGTGTGAGCTGGTGGAGCCCAGGGCTGTCCATGCCTTCCAGATGATCCCAGGCACACTTCCTCTGGCACAAGACGTGAACAAATCAGACCTGCAAATGGCACTGTAATCCCAGCCAGAATTAAAACTGTGGTCTCCCAAATGCAGCTTCCTAGTTCAGGCAGCAGGATCAGACAGCCCTTATGGCTTCTAGACCTCAGCGTGCTCAGGTCCAGCCCAGCTTCATCTGCTCATGCCATGCCTTATCCCTAAGGCAGCCAAATTACTCCCTGTCCATTCCAGCCTGGTTTAGTGTTTTTCATGTAGTTGGTACTAGCCAAATGACTGCCTGCATTGTAAGGCATCAGCTATAATGCCTTGAATCTTTATAAAGCAGTAAGATGGTTGTTTGAAAGCCTTCATAAAATTGTAAGCATATAGTTTAGACATTTTGATAAGCAGAGATGGTTTTATTGTGACGTGACTGACAGTCTCTGTGAAGGGTACTTACAGTCTGACTCATTACTAAAAACACCCTGACAGGAAGAACTTGATGTGGACGTGTAATGGGGAGACAATGGGAAATTATGACAAAAAGAGCTCATTAAACATTTCACTTTTTTAGAGCAGTTAATTTCACACACAGAACTACAATTTCTAACTGGAGTGTGTACCACTTAACACAAGCCTTTTAGGGTAAGCCTGCTTGCTTTGTCTGGCTTGATGTCAGTGAATGCAGAATAGGAGAACTGGTCTAAGGAAGGAGCAGAGAGAAAATAGGAATGATTACAGGAAGTGTGAGTTGATACAGAGGAAGGGAGAGATACCGGGAGGAAACTGGACAGCATGAAAAGTATGTGTTTGGAGCTGAGATGTACACCAGCAGAGGAAATCTACAGGAGTGTAGGATTTGCTGGTAAGGGATGTAGCAGAGAGACTGGGAAATACAGGAATTATATTGAGCAAGCAATCTTTTTCATCCCAATGTCAGAGAAGTGACTTGGCAAGCAGCCATGACTCATTATTTGAGTTTATTCAGTGGGTACATTCAAATTCTGAGATCCTAGGCTCATTCCTTTCTGCCTCATTTGCACCATATTTACATTACTTGATATCAGAGATCATGAGGAGTCACACTACGAAGTACTTTGATGCCTTCTGATAAATGGCCTCACCCAACAGCACAGTATTGTGTAAGTTACTGGCTATAAACACTGGCCATCTTGATGCATATACAATGTCAAATACTTCTGCTTCAGGGCACTACCAGGAAGATGCTTCACACCTTCAGTCGCAATGGGATCTCACACGCACAGAAAAATATTTGCCCAAATGTTTCTGGTGTCTTAGGAAACTCTATCTTATTGAAAATCAGTATGAATTACATTTCCCAGTTTCAAAGCAGTCTTTGAAAAGGGGATTCTGGCTTTTAGTTTTTACACTACGGTAGATCTCACCCCACCTAAGCCTAACTATTTAGAAGTTATCATACCTGCAAGTCATTTAAAATTCCTCTGCAGCCATGAAAGAATGATGTCCAGCCGTACATTTATTTCCACCTGAGAGGGATGCCTCAGGCAGACAGGAGGAATTTCCCCATGAAGCGGCTATTTCTCTCCACTGGCTACAGAGAGTCAAAGGTGGAGGGCACTTAGATGACTGCTTCAGTATCCTTCACTTTTATGTGCATCAGCTAGAGATAACTTGCCTGGGAACACATCAGAGGAAAACAATCCCCAGATGAAAAACCGATCTCTGTCCAGAGAACACGGGCGATTCAGTTTGAACTCGAGGAAAACTTCCTGTATTTTTATTAAGTGTTGTATTTATTGTTGGGAGAGAGAATTCATGGTGCCTGAAACCTATTAGAATCTACAAAAGTCTCTCACTTTATTCATCCATTATGAAATCACCGAAACAAGATCTCCTAAAAAAGAAAGTGTCCTTATGTGTTTAAACCAGGTAGATGAGCTAGATTATTTGCCCTCAGATTGAATTTTAGAGGTTTATATAATAATGACAGCTATAAATTGAAAAAAAAATTATGGCAAGTGTCTCAATGACAGAGTCTCTCACATGTGGAAGGGTGAGCAATAAATCAGATGGGCAGTGGAATATTAAATTGCTAATTTTAAGAGTCATTGCTGCTTTTTTTTTTCTTTTAATACATACTAATATAAAAAGCTGAAACAAAATCTCAGCTACCTATTTCTTCCTCTCCTCTTTCTTCTCCTTTTCTTCATAAACTAAAGTACATAATTTCTTTGGAGAAAAAGCTCTAATAGCTTTAAATTTAACTATGAAATAGCAAAAAAAAAAAAGTATGCGACCAGCTTCATGAAGATGACCAATTAAATATATCTGATGATTATAGAGTAGGTTCCATATACTCTATATCTCACAGTCATGCTCTTTACCAGGACAGTCTAATACCAAAGTGTCTGCAGACATGATTGCAAATGTACTGAGCACCCAGTCATACTGCAACAACCTAAATTACAGACTACATCTAGAGTAAATTTGAAACATCGCTGAAGGAATAATAAAAAAGTCATAGGAAATCTACAGCAGAAAAATGTAACACTGAACTGTATGAGAAAAGATTGAGAAATCTACAGCTATTCTGTGCCTACAAATACCTTAATTAGTTATGCAACATGAGTTATTTTACTAGATTTTCCCAGGCAACACGATGATGCCTTTCTCCTCCTAGCGACTTATCATGAAATATTTATGGCAAGTATTGTTTGTTTGTGCAAACCACAGAAGTGTCACAATTCAGGCCCCCATCCAGCCCCTCCCCAGCATTTATCTTTTTAATTCAACATCTTGGTCTCCGTGCTCAGTCTGAGCTGTGCAAGTTACCACATCCTCATGTGAAAGAAGTCTCTCTCTCTCGAATACAGGCATTTTTTCCATGCTTACAGTAGACCAAGATTCCTGACCTTTTCCTTTTATTTTTCTCCATTCTCACACAAATCCTCAGAAATACTAGTTTTCTGTGTAATCAATGCAATCGAACAACTTCTCGGGGTGTTTATAGCACAAATTTATATTAAACAGTATAACTTGCCCTTGAGCAAATGCATGCCTTGTTGCTAAGGCATCTGTCACTCTACTTCTCTCAACCACTTGTTACCATTCCTTATACATTCTGGGGATAAATGCTTCACCTCCTCACAATGCTAATACACAGAAAGGGAATGGCGCCATTTGGATACAACAGCATATTACCCTTATTTTTTAAATAGCCTACTGTCCATGCAAGGCACAGGACAGAAAAAATTAAGTTGACATTCTATATTGACCCTTAGCCTCTTGCATATTTAGAGCACTATAGAAATAGTACGTAGCAATATTGGGAGGAAATCTCCTTGTGCTGATTACAGCCCACAATAACCAGGAAAGCAATGCAACACACAGAGAAAAAATACTGCCACTGAGGAATTTGCTGAGTGAGGTCTTCTTGCACACTTCATCTGGATGTAGTTCCTTTCAGAGTTTCCCCACAGCTATTTAAAGTAATGGCAACTGCACATATCTCTACCCTACAACTCTACAGCTCCTACTAAGCTACCACAGAAGTTGGGTTTACTGGAACATTTTTTTATGGTGTATGTTAGGTTGGATTTTGACGTAACTTGTTTGGTTGGTTTTTTTCCAAATAACAGAAGAGTAATTCTAATGCAAATTCTCACTTTTTGACTTGGAGTTCCTTATGAAGTCTTTACCTATCAGCACATGGTATTCACCAGGTAGTCTTCTGAGATGTATCGACATTATAGCCACAGAAAATCACTGTAGCGGTCACAATGTTCGACATACCTTTTCTGAATGCTACTTCTCTCAACCTCCATGCTACTCAGACCTTGACTCTCCCGCTGTCCTACTAAACCAAGCTGTAAGGAGCACAATGTATAAAGTATGGCTCTGACAGAGCACACAGGGGAGAAAATGCAGCCCACGCTCACTCAGAGTGATAAACCTTGTACGGCGTTGGGTAATAGAGGAACTCTTCTAATCCAGGCAGCAACAATTCATGCATTAACATGCAGAACGCTCATTGTCAACTCTTAACCACAGATAACACATTTATAAATGGTGACTTTCATAAGAATGAGTCAGAAAAGACAGAAAGGAGATTTAAGTAATGAATGAGATGGATATAAGTGATGTTACAATCCTGGCTACTGAACCAACCCAATAAATCCATAACACATCACTGATAAAATTCACATCACGAAGAATGTACCAAATGTCACATACAATAATGAAAGTCACAGAAGCTAAGAAACTTCTTTACCGCATATAAACAGGGAAGATACTTACACTTACAGGTTGACTTTTTGGCACATCATAAACACCTTCTTTCTTTTGGCTGGTAGGAACCTGCAACAGCAAATGAAAACTAAGGTCATCACCCAAGCAGGTTTGATGAAAAATTTGAAACAGCAACTGATCTTTATGTACAACGTAGTCACTTAATACTAATGAAATCAAGCATGGTTCCCTTTTCATCCAAGCAGTACCATTAATGGAGAAGATATTGAATAAACAAAACGTCTATTGGATTTTTTTTTAATCCTAAAGCGTAGTAGTGTTCAGAAATGATATTTTCATTCTCAGTTAATTTGGACTGCATTAAGTCCAGGTGCACTTGGATCTCCTTACTACTTAAATGGTTGGGTTTTTTGTTTTATGTGGGGGTTAGAAGATGTACATGGAAGTCATGATCAGGTCAGAACGTCATCTTCCTCCATGGCAGAGA